TCAGATCAGTAGAGTGCATGGCGCAGCAACCTCATTTTTGTTAGAAGTAGACTGTAAATTTGGGAGAGCCGAAGCAAATATATTTTGCATTTCTGAGTTTTCCAGCATCCCTCAGTAGATTCCTGCACTGAGGACAGAGACAGCAGCAACAGACTAGAGGGAACTAAACTTAGGGTAGGGTAAGACCTCCCCACCCCACACAATGCATGCTTCGGTGGCCTGTGAACTGCTATCTAAGAACTGAGAGTCTGGTCACCACGGGGTCTTTGTTCCTAGGCCACTGCTCTAGCAGTCCTCTGTCTTTAGACTTAAATGAATGTTGAACAAATCTTTCTAGTCTGAATAGAGAGCCAAATTATTAGCCTGTTCAAGGTGTCCACGTGTTTTATCAACCCCTCGTATTACCAAATCGAGTAAAAGCAAGTTTAACAGTGACCAGAAACAGGACAGTCCAAAGATCTCTTTCTCCTCCCTGCACCTTTCTCACTGTCTCAGTTGATCCAGAGGTACAGTTCAGACTATTGGCCTATCCTTCAGGCAACCAACCAAGGATGTTCTTTCCCTTAACTGAGAAAAATAGAGCAGCAGAGTTTGGAGTTATATTTTTTGGTGAATGAATATACTTTAGCTGATCATGGACAGATCCACATGCCTGGTAAATCAGTGGATCAACTAAGAGGTGGGCAGGGTTGACATTTTCTTATTAAAAGTAAAAAAACCAACCAGGACCAACCAAACACACCCACCTGTAGATGGGCCAAGGGAGTCTTTGTGAATAGTGCTAATACTTTCCCCAGAAAACAGTTCTGGACCTATTTCTACAAGGGTAATTGAAGCTTAAAATTCATCATCATGAACAGGTTGCAAACATTTGAACCTAAAAAAAAAAAAAAAATTCAGATCAAGAGTTAGGAATCATCTACCCTAGTTACCAAGTATCCACGAATTAATTTTAATCACTATAACTTCTTGAGGAGAGTCTAATATAAATTACTTTTGTCTCTTCCATAGGCTTATAATGCTTCCAGATCTTAATTATCCACACTCTAAGTAAGTGTTCTGTCCTTGGATCCCTTAACTCTACAAATTGGGGAGATTTCATCCATAATCATTGCCCTACTTCATCTGCCATTTGTTTGGGGATTACACTCAATCTGTATCTCTAGATTGACCCTTCTTTGGTAATACAGACATGTGTTACCAGTATATTCCTGGATATCTTTATCTGAATGTCTCTTAGATGCCTTAATGCTATAAATGGAATTTATTATTTCTATCGAACCTCTATTTCCCATCCTCTTGACAATCACTCCAGAAACCTGAGGTAATTAATATCTCGTCCTTTCCCTCTCTGTCCACACCTATCTCTGTACCTCACCAATTCGACTTCTAAATAGGCCTTGAGTTTTCTTTTTCATACATGGTACTTGCCTCACGGTTTCTTCTCTAGATGCTATCAATTTCTTTGGTTAAGAATATATTTCTGAAATGCTTTGCCTTCGCATCCTCCCATGGCTCTATAAGACGATGTCCTAATAGAGAAAGACATATGGGGCCTTTCAGGATTTAATCCTCCTCTTTCTTCTAACAAGCCCCTTTGGAAATCAAGGTCTCATTCTCTGTAACCACTTGCTCTTCTCTAAAAAGCCTAAGGCTTCCTTCCCTCTGTGATTTTGCATCTGCTCATCCCCTACTTGGGATGCTGCCCCCAGGTTCCTCCATACCCCAGACCATCCTTTTCTTTGAGTACAAAGCACCATCTGTTAATACTCTGCTAAATACATTCAAGTTCAAGCCTTTGTGGAGCTCCATAGATAAAAGTTATGCCGTCCTCTCATAATGCCCTTTTAGGACCATATATATGTTTTTATTATAGCACCTATCATATTACTTTTCCAAGTCGGAGGCAGATATTGTGTTCTTTTGCTTTTTGAGTCCTCAGAGTCTAGCAGACTGCCTATTAGCCACCTAGTTGTTGTTTAATAAATATTGACTATTAGCTACAGTGTTAATACAACTAAGCTAAGGAAATATTAGGCTGCATTAATAGCAGTATATACTTAGAATTTTTAGTTCCAGATACCATATTTAGGGATAGACATTTAGGAAGTACACTATCCACCTGCCAGTGTAGGGTCATTCTACCATGATGGCCTTAAGAAAAAAAAGACTATGAGGACCCACAGTTCCCTCATAATCTCTGAAGGGTTACAGAGAAAGCAGCTGACAAGTAACTACTAAGCTTTTCCAAGACAGGAGGTTCTCCACCATGGTGTTGGGTCATCCTGGTATGTCTTCATTAGCGCTGAGATGTATTGTAACTTATTTGTACTAATAAAAGCTGAAGTAGTGAAGTTTGAACACTTTTTCCTTCCTCTTAAACTACAGTAGACTCAGGTCTACTTCTATAATGTCACTCTTGTCCACTTATATTCCAATATACTTTGCTTTGATAGAGACAGAGTTAAACCTGATGCGTCCAGAAACTGGGTGTAAGCCACAATGTACCTTATCTTTGCTTCTGCCCTGGAGGATCCCGAACTGTGAATATTATCTATTCCAGGGGAATTCGGAGAACTGCCATCCTAGATTGTGAGCTCCTTCATGGTAGGGCACATGACTTTTATTTTGTATCTGTCCACAGTGTCTGGCAATTAACAGAAGCTTGAAGAAAAGAAGGAAGTGAAGGTTTGAAACATGATCAATGGGAGAATGAAAGAAAATGTGAAAGAAAATGTGAGAAAAATTAAAAAAAAAAAACGACAGGAAGAGAAAAAGCAAAGGAATAAAGATGTCTTATTATTTTTTTAGAAAAAGTTAATTGGATTCAGTTTTTAATGAGACATAAAGAAAAAAACAGCAATAAAAGCTGTTTAAGCAGAGACTTTGAGATTGTTTAAGATGACTTCTAAGTTCTTATTCAATTCTTTGATCTAGGATTTTCGATTTTATTTCTCCAATAATACTCTTCAGTGAATAGTAGCATTTAATGAATATTTATTAAATAGAATTATAATCAAAACACCAAAGAAGAAACAAACTGATGTTTCTAATAATGTTTTTTTTTTTTTTTTTTTTACTTTCTTAACTGGGTCTTCACAGTTCCATGAAGAAATCAGGGATGGGTTTGCAAAATTCAACTCCAGTTTGCTCCCTCATAAGATGCTCTGTGGTTGGCACCATAC